CAACATTATGCCTACCGAAAATCCTTCCTTTTTCATTAATTTAAAAACCTGCCTAATACGGTAGTCGAAATATCTAGCGCAAGTAACGGGATCTGCTCTTATTAAACGTGCCTTTTCTTCATGGGCTAAAGCTGATGCTACTTCCTTAGAAATATCAAACCTATCAACATTTTTCTTAAGTAAAACTAACAACTCTGACCACCTAGTCTCAGCAGCCGACAACGTTATAAAAAAAGTAGGGAGCCCAAACTGGCGTATCATGGCCATGACTTTCTTTTTTTCAGCTTCCCAATGAGCAGGAGATTAACGAATGCATTTTAATACCCTATAACCTTCATCGTGACTTATTACTTGATCTATATGATCTTCACTGAGTGCGTTGGCAGCTGTAATGCCGTGGGGGGCGCTGTGCTTACGTAAGGAAATGGATGTGTTATTGCGTATATGGATCAGCTCTAACTTCTTGTAATTATAAAATAACTTATCCGTTCTACAACTTCTCCTATCAACATTTCTAAGTTCGGACCTAACAACTGTTGTAAAACTTTGTGAAGTTTTTCTTTTTTTCGCCAGCAAATATGGTTGGGAATGACAGTTCCTCTGAATCAGAGTCTGCAACCATATCAAGGGGTCTTTGGCCTTCACCAGGAGCAATTGTGATACGCACAGGGATATTGTGTGCATGCGTGCTGTCTAACAATGTTTCTTGCCCTCCTGGATTTATCTGCTCTATGTCTATGTTTGAATTTGCCTGTTCGGAAGTATTTTGTATACCATCCTCAACAACTACTCTGTCTGCTTGAGACATTATAAATGGAACAGTATCGGATGTAGAAGAAATCATCCACTGCTCATTAAGTGTTACATTATGTTTCCGATACAGCTCTGTATTAATCAGATATCTGATTGCACTGGCAATTTTGGAGGGCCTAATGGTTTCAGCCATAAAATTATGACTGTATTCTCTGCTTCGTGAAAAGCTCGTGGAAGAGAAGTAACCACGTTCGAAACTGGAATTGGGACATTAACTACAGCTCCTTTTAGACCACTTTGGCGACCATACCCAAGGGGTTTTATAACCATGAAAGGCAAGCGGGGAGATATTAATCTTTCCTCCAAAAAGTTCAGTTCTTTAAGGCAATCGGGCAGTGTGGGAAAATCCAATCCATTTGTGATAGCTGCCTTTGGTACCCTACGAGCTTTAATACTTCGGCTGCAAGTTTTGTAGAAAGTAAACCTTTCATTATTCGAAGAAAATATACCTGCCACACTAAAAATGGTTATGCAAAGCTGACTAAACCTTTCAGTGTTTGTAAGCTCGTTTATCTGCTCAATATATGTCCGGGGTACCCTATCAACTTGGTGGGGGTACCAAAGGCCTTTACAGCAAAGGCAAAGTTGGTCAGGACCTAATTCCACTACTTTATTAAATTGGACAATTTGATGTTCAATTGTAAAAACTCTGACCTGCATATCCTCTTCTAAAACATTTGCCCTTTCCTCCCTATTGCGAATTGCATTTCGTCGGTTTTCTGCTACTCTATTTTGGCTAAGGCTTCTATGCTGTCTAACTCTTTGAGTCAAATTCCTTGTAGCGTCAAACGATTCCTGTCTTGCTAATATTCTAGCTCTTTGTCTTTCTGTAGTGTTGCGAACTTGCTCAACGTTCCTATAAATTAGATTCACTCTTGCCTGAGACGGACGGAGAGTATTAGCTGTCTGCTCCTGTTCCCTTATTTCTACATTTTGCCGACGAATTGATCGCCGCAAAGAGTCGGCAGACTGCTCCTGTTCCCTATACTGTAAGTCCTGCCTACGTTGCGAGTGTTGTCGAGTATTAACTACCTGCTCCTGTTCCCTTATCTCTACATTTAGCCGGCGAATTGATCGCCGCAAAGAGTCGGCAGACTGCTCCTGTTCCCTATACTCTGAGTCCTGCCTACGTGTTGAATGTTGTTGAGTATTAGCTGCCTGCTCCTGTTCCCTTATTTCTACATTTTGCCGACGAATTGATCGCCGCAAAGAGTCGGCAGCCTGTTCCTGTTCCCTTATTTCTACATTTTCCCTGCGAATTCTATGAGCTTCAATATTATATTCCCTCCCCCGCTGACTATATTCCGAATTAGTCCTATTTACTTGATTTCTCGCTCTTTGTCTTTCCGACCTAGCAGCAGCCGATTGACTTTTCAAATGAGGCATAATTATAAAACTTAATGAAATTTTAAAAGGTAAATAAAAAACTAATATTTGCAAAATATAAAAAAGTAAAAAAAAAATTAGCACAATATAAACAGAGTCTTAAAAAAGACTATTTATGCTTAAGGCAGAATTTGAGAAACACAAAAAATATGTTGAAGACGAAATAAGAAAGTCTTGATAAAGACTATTTACGACAAAAAAATATAAAAATGAAAAGGTAAACTCACTTCTTGTAAGTGCCGAAGAAAAAAATACACATATACATATATTTCTAAAAATATGCACTTTATACTTTAAACACTACTAACCACTCACAAAATTAAATTTACCCGTTTTAAATTGTAAAATCGCACCACATTCACAACCGCACAGAAGTAATGCAAAATGCAACTAAACCCATCAAATTTTGTGGTACGCTTGTCGACTTCATTTTTTAGTGCAATACAGTCCTTTTGTGACCTGTCCTATTTGATTGAGTTTTTTGGGATCATATGGGTTCACGCGGTTTTATTGGCAACTACCTGCAGGTCAACGGTTAAAAAGGATGCGTTGGCAGTTTATTTGCCGGTATTTCATCAACTGGTAATTTTTAGGATGTCTCTCAAAAATTAGTAAATCCGTTACAAAAATGTCCCCAAAAAGACATTGAACCTTTTCTAGGTAATCCACGAACGATTGTACACGATAGCTTTATTAAATAAGATATGAATATATTATCATAACATTCATATAAGTATTCATACACTAGGCATTTATTTTTGTGTGAATGAAAAAGTATATACTATTGCATTAGTAGAAAAATAAATCACTGCTTCAGTTTGTTATGCGTATCGTTTATAACTTTTCTTAAAATTGATCGAAGAAAACAAAATAGATAATTATGTTCATTATGTATGCAAAGTTTAATTTATGTAGCTTTTGAAATGTGGACAGTATTGACGAAATTCTGTAGAGGGGGGAGGAAATAAAAAAAGACAAACTTGTGTTGCCTAGGTATTATGAGAGTCTGCATACCAAGTTTGGTTTATGTTGCTTTCGAAATGAGGACAGTGTTGACGAAGTTCGGGTGCTGAAGCTTGTGGGCGTAGTACCGGAGTGAAAATGTTTCGCTAATAACTTTTCTTACAATTAACCGAATTGGATCAAATTTAAACCAAAAGTAGATAACTGTATATAGATTGCGTGTGCAAAGTTTGGCTTATGTAGTTTTTGAAATGTGGACAGTATTGACGAAATTCTGTAGCTTGGGGAAGGGGGGGGGGGGGGGGGGGAATTCCCAAAAATAAAATAAACTCGTCCTTTTTCGGACCTAGGAGAATCTGGATACCAACTTTGGTTATTCCAGCTATTATAGTTTCTGAGATCCTTGCGTTCATCCAGACGGACAGACGGACGGACATGCCTAGATCGATTTCTCTCGTCATGCTGATCAAGAATATATATACTTTATGGGGTCGGAGATGCTTCCTTCTGTATGTTACATATTTTGCACAAACCTAATATACCATTTTTACCCTACGGGTACATGGTATAAAAACAAACTTTACCTTCCTAGGGCTCAGGAGAACCTGGATATTCTGGTCATTCTAGCTCTTGCTCCTTCTGAGATCCTTGCGTTCATACATACATGCGCACAAAACTAGTATAGCCTTTCACCCTTTCCGTACAGGCTATAAAAAATTTAAACATCGATTTGCTTGTGGAGAGTCGATTAGTCGTATAAAGTCAAGTCTGTCCGTATGAACACCTGTATCTCAGAGACTATAAGAGCTAGCGACACCAAATTTTGCACAAAGATGCCTTATGTGTGTACGCTGTGCAAGTTTTTTTTTTATTTTCCTTACTTCCCCCCTATGGGCGTTTTCCCGATTTTCCATTAGTATAATCGCCTATATCTCGGAGACTATAAGACCTAGAGACACCAAATTTTAGTCCAAGATGCCTTATGTGAATACGCAGAAAATGTGTCTTTTGGAATTTTCCTCCCTTTCCCCTCTCCCCCACAAATCGTAGCTCCTGTAATTCTTGGAATTTCGAACTCAAATTGCAAATATCCCCAGTTAGTGATTATGTGTCCTTATGCCAAGTTTCACTATGATAGACCGATTTAACAAGAAGTTATGGCCAGAAATATATTTGCTGCTCTAGCGCTGCCCAACCGCTGCCCGCAGCTGTTGTTGATGCTGGTGCTTTGGTTGACTGCAAACATGCTTGACGCAATTGCTATGTATATGTGCAATTATACACCCTTTACGTGAGTTCGAATACCGAAAGAGGTAAAATCGATCCAATTTTATTTTTAATTTTCTTAATTTTTTTAGTTTCTATAATTATTTTAAACATATGTACAGAGTATTTCAAAGTCGGGAGACCCGACTTTAGCTCTTTTACTTGTTTTAATGCTGCAAAATATTTGATCTGAAGCACAACAACAACATCTACAACAAAAATCAGAGTTATGACTAAATTCTAAGGAAAATCGAGCAATGACATTTTTTCGTTATCCCGTTTGTAGGTATCGCTGGCGACAACTGCATATGTCTTGTTTTTGTAAGCGCGGTTGCGATCGGCACTCTGCTTGTGCGTCTTGCTGGCGCCACATGTGTTACAGAAAAGGTTGTCGATCCAGCCGTGAAGTAAGAAGTTTCACTTCAATATGAATATTCACTTCAATAAAAGTATGTGCTTGTTCTTGAAAAACTATTTATAAGTAAGGATGAGTTTATATATATATTTTTATTCAAATACTAAATAACAGTAATAATAAATGAACTTAACAATTTCTTACAATTCTTTTCCAGTTGGTCCATCTGTAACGGTTGCAAAAAAACAGATAACGGTACGAAGAGGAGAGCGTATTGCTTTGCGCTGTGATGCAAATGGCGACGAGCCGCTAAATATGTCATGGCGTGCAAAGGCATATAAAATTGATCCCTCTTATGATACACGTTACCATATTAAGCACTCACCATTGACCCGTGGATTGTCGTCGGAGTTAACGATATTGCAGACAATTTTAGCAGATCGAGGTGAATATTCGTGTATAGCTGGCAATGCGTATGGTCAGGATAGGGCAGTTATACACCTCCATGTGCAAGAGCCGCCGAATTTTCCAATTAATTTGCGCATAACGGATCTAAGCAGTCGTTCAGTTACTTTGGCCTGGTCTTCAAATGACCAAGATTCCGGTTTACTGGTTAGCGGTGGAGGAAATAATTTAGATTCACAGCCAATATCTAATTATATTTTACAATACAAAAAAGCTAGAGGTATGTATGAATTGTATAAAATCGAAGTTGTATAAGTTCGAAGTTTGATATCTGATCTTTTTTTGTAAGCCCATAACTATGTTTAATATATTTGACCCTTGTAGATGCGTATTATACAGTTCGCAATCTATTCACTACCAGACGTTGCCAATTAATTTTAGTGCTAACCATCTCTATGAGAACCGATAAGGGAATAAACCAATTCTAAAATTTCCAAATTCTAATTTTATTCCTGAAATAACTTCACTATTTATAAACTTTGTAGCATATGTATTTATACTCTGTACATGATATGTACAAGAGTATATTAGGTTTGCGGGAGCTGAAAAATGTAACTGCCAGAAGGAGGTGTGGCAGACCCCACAAAGTATATATATTCTTGATCAGCGTGACACGACGAGTCGATCTATCCCTGTCTGTCCGTCTGTCCGTCCATATGAACACCTGGATTTCAGAGACTATAAGAGATAGAGACACCAAATTTTTTCACAAAGATGCCTTATGTGTGTACCTTATACGAGTTTGTTTTATTTTTTTGACTTTCCCCCCACTTCCTCCTATTGGGGGAATTACGGAAACGTCGTTCGTATAATCACCTATATCTCGGAGACTATAAAACCTAAGAGCGCCAAATTTTAGTCCAAGCTGCCTTGAATACGCAGAAAATGTATATTTTGGAATTTCCTTCCCTTCCCTCTCTCCTACGCAATTTGTTATTTTCCATAACTGCCGTAATTCTTGTAATTTCTATTTTTGCTAAAATCCTTAGTTAGTGATTATGTACGTGTATGTGTATGAATGTCTATGCGCGTCTATTCGTTTCTGTGTGAGCAAGTTTGCAGTCAGCCAAAGCACCAGCATCAACAACAGCTGCGGGCAGCGCTTGGCCAGAAAATATATTTATAGCTATAACTTCTTGACAAATCGGTCTATCATAATCACTAAGTTTGGGTACTTGGAAATAGTGGTTCCGATTTGCTGCCAAGATCGTCTTATTTCTCCCTTATGACAGTTAAAGTTGTATTTATGGTTGGCCATTCGTGGATTGTCGATTCAAACCATTTTGGGCCTCGCTTCCAGAGTTCTGATCCCAGGAGCCTTTTAGCTGTTATACCGCGTGTCAGAAGATCAGCTGAGTTGCAATTTCCTTGACAGTGTCGCCAATCGTATATATTTGTGAGTTTGATTATTTCGTCCTCTTTTGATTTAATTGAAGACATTGGCTGCCCGCATCCTGAAATCCAGTTTAGCACAATGCTTGAGTCCGACCACATGTAGGTCGAAGATACGCCAAGTCTTAGCTCCTTCTTCAGGTATTGAGCAAGTCTAGAGGCCACCAATGCTGCCGTAAGTTCAAGCTTCGGTAAGTTGGCTCCACTACTCTCTTTGATTGGGCTTACTCTATTTTTTGAACAAACAAATTTTATTTGTATTTCGCCATTCATCCCCACTTCTCTTAAGTAAGGCTCCATAAGCAACAGGGCTTGCGTCTGCGAAAATGTGCAGTTGTAGGTCAGCCATATTTGCCGACACCATACACCGTTGCAGGGAAAAATCTTCAAGCAATGCCATATCCTCTCGCCAGGCCATAAACTCGTCTGATAGTCCCGTGGTGAGTGTTGTATCCTATTCTTCCATATTTTTTGGAGCAAAATTTGTATTTTTATTTTTATTTTATTTTTTATTGTAAATGGACCAAGAATGCCCAATGGATCATAAATTCTGGCCATAGCTCGTAATACGTTGCGTTTTGTTGGACGTAGACTCTGAACATACGTTATGATCGTCCGTTATAGTGTCCCATTGGACTCCAAGCACCCTTTGAACTGTTGCTAAATTTACATCAGTTTCTTTAAATTTCCCTTTAAGTTCTGCATCGTTAGAGTTCCATTTTCGCAAGTTAAAGCTTGCGCCTCGCATGATGATATTTGATTGGTAGTAAAGATCCTCTGCATCCCTTAATGTCGCCACGCTGGTTACAAAGTCGTCAACATAAAATGAGTCTTGCATGCGCCGGATCCTGCATTTGCAAGAGTTGCTGAATTGTTGACGTCAATAAAAATGGGCTGCATGTTACTCCAAATGTAACACGTGTCATTCGATACTCCGCAATTTTCGGATATGGTGTGCCAATAGATGCTACTGATGCATACCAAAAGAACCGGTGGTAATCACGATCGGATTCATCTATAGATATCTGCAGAAACGCCTTTTTGATATCCGCAACGATAGCAATTCTATGGCAACGAAATCTTATTAAAATAGCAGTTAAATCTGTTAATAAATTGATACCTGGGCTAAGATGATCATTCAATGAAGAGGCTCCGTGTTCGCTGGCTGAGGCATCGAAAACAATGCGCACCTTAGTTGTCGCTTTGTCGAGCCGATAGACCGGATGATGGGGCATATAGTATGCCTTCTGGGTTTCACCCAAAGCAGGCGCCGCTTCAGCCACTCCAGTACTCAATAGCTCTCTGATGCCAGCATCGTATTCCTCTAATTTATCAGAATTTTTGAGCAATTTATTGCCAAACTGCTTAGCGGATTCTTTGCATTTTGCTTATTGTCATGCAAATCCTCCTTTGGAAGCTTCCATGGTAAGCGCACTGAGTAGCGCCCGCCTATTTGGTGTATGTCGGCTGTACAGCAGCTTGTGGTTCGGAGTACGATGCTATACCAATACTCTCCAAATTCCAAAATTGTTCAATGTCGAATGTTTCGCAATACTCCAGAATACTTAAAACACACCTTGATTCGCCTTGACCTTCACCATAATGACCTTGTATTGTCCAACCAAAGAAAGTTTCTACTGCGACTAAGTTTTCTGCTAATAGTTCACGATTATTGTTATTAAATTTCCAGTAGTTGTCTTGACCAATCAGTAAATTAATGCCTGGAATTAGCTTTTCCGGGGTTACAATGCTTTCAGCCATATTTTTGTTTAATTGTTTTATTAAACGCGGCACAGGCAATACATCCTCGCATATGTTCTGCACTACAGTCAGACAGACTCTTTACATTAATAATTGCGCGTTTGAATTGCGTGGCACGTGATTGCTTACCAGTTTGGCCGAATGCGACGATTCTAGTTCTTTTCATACCTATGACCGGCAACTTTAAATGTTTTGCTAAACGTTCCGTCACGTAGGTGCATTGGCTCCCGTTATCCATTATAATATGGGACAACTCCTTTATTTCACCACTCATAAGAACCGCCTTAGCTGTTTGTATCTCATTGTTTACGCGCTGCACCACTGTACTGAGTGTCGCTGTCTCTGTGTGTTATTCTTGTTCACCGCCTTGTTTCTGATTTGCCTTGCCATCGCACATAGCTGTAATGTGCCGCCCGCTACAAATTGAACATTTTAAATGCTGATTTTTAGAAAATCTTGCCGTATGATTTGGCTTAGCGCACCTAAAACAGCTTCCCTTACTACGCAATATCTTTTTTCGCAACTCAATGCCTACTGTTTTATCTTTACACTCCTTTGTGTCGTGATTCGTACGTTTGCAAAATATGGACAGTTGCGCTTTCTCTAATGCTTCGACTTCGACTTTTATGTACTCCAAAATCACAGTTAGTTGATCGTTTATGATATTCTATGCGCATGCCAACTGGAATTGATTTTAGAAGAAGTGAAGTAACCATAATCTCATATTAAGACTTGGAAACTCCGAGTGCCTTTAATGTTCTTATTGTTGCCTGCGTTTCATTATATAGTTGGCGCAGACCCTTCACGTCATTGTTTGACTGGGCGGCCTTCACACTCAACAATTTTTGCACATACCTCTCAATTATTTTCTCTGTGCTTCCATACTCTTCGAGTAGCAGCTCGACGGCATCTTTGTAGCATGTTTCGGACGGAATAAATCCTTCAAGAACTGCGTCTGATTCACCTGTTAGAGCATCATTTAAATAATTAAATTTTGCGACTGCATCCAACGAGCTATTTTCATGCACAGCTATTTTAAACTGCTCCCAATAGGGTATCCAATTTTCGAACGATCCGTTGAATTTCTTTAGCTCGATTGGCTTTAATTTAGTGAAGCTCTTATAACTGTTGCTGCCTTCCGATTGTCGCTCCTTTTCAAGGCCTCTCTCATTGTGGCCCGTCATAGGGTTTTGAGTGGAAATAGCCTGATGAGCCGATATAGCCATGCGGTGCAACCTATATTCCAACTTCGCGACTGTACTTACAGCTCGGTCATCATATTCAATAATTACGTCGTAATCTCTTTCCTTTTCGTCTTCGCCCAATAGAGCTGACAAAGCTTGCTCATCTGCAAATTTTAGGTTTGCGTGCGCGTTTTTTAGTCGTTGCACGTACACGCTCAAGCCCCCCTCAGTGACATCCTCGGCCACCTTGAGGTACTTGTCGATATTATTACACAACTTGGTTAGTTGCGTTCCGCATGTGGATCTATAAGCGGGATCCATCTTCTTGATTATATATTTAATCAACGCCTTGAGTAACTGAAACACACCCGTTAGTTATTCTTCTTGATTATATATGTCTAATCAACCTCATTAATTTTAGAATAACGACAGACACTACGTTCCCGGGTTTCGGCTCCATATAAAAAAATTGTACTGATTTTTGTCCGGAACTCAAATAAGAGCGACTGTATGCTGCGTGTGTTTCTTTATTACTAGTTTTATATGTACAATGGATATTTGTATTAGTTATTATTCGTGTGTATGAGTATAAGAGTTAGGTTTACAAAGTAGAACGTTTGAGATGAAACGGATAGTTCTTGTGTAGCTTATTTTAGGGTATTTTTTAGTAAATTTTCACATTTTAAACTTCAAATTTTATATCCCTAGGTTTTATAATTGTAGTCTCCGAGATATAGGTGATTATACGAACGACGTTTCCGAAAATCCCCCATAGGGGAGAAGCGGGGGAGAAAATTGAATAAATAAAACCAATTCGTACACACATAAGGCATCTTTGTGCAAAATTTGGTGTCTCTAGTTTTTATAGTCTCTGAGATCCAGGTGTTCATACGGGTCATAAAATTTTTAAACTATTGCCCGCAGCTGTTGTTGTTGGTGCTTTGGTTCAACTTTGTACTGTATACATACACGCAAAGACACGATTCTGATGTAAATGTATGCTGTACATAAAGATAGGTCTCCACTTTTGTATGTATGTATTGAATATTTATTATTTAACTAGCCGCCCTGGCACCCGTCACAAGGGTGTCGTTACTAGAGGTGGACGGCGAGGTGTACTATAGATTTAATGAAAGAATGTAAAAAGAGGAGAAGAATATGTAAAAAGATGAAGTCGAAGTGAGTTAAAATTTAGCCACGAAGGCGAACAGTAGCACTGCAATTAAAGGTAAGCAGTTTTTATAAGTTTTCCCTAACCCCATCGGTTCTGCCAGTTGCCGTGGAAAGCGGCACGCTTTGTAATAAAATAATTGAAAACAAACCATCGGCGTATTTTATTTCCGAGTGCCAAAAATAAATTATTTGCACTAACGCCGGCCGGCGAGTATACCCGGGCCAACGCAGCATTGCAGTACATACATACATATCTTCATTAAGCGCCGGGTGTACTGCCAGTCCTCATTTATCTTTCCTTAGCACGCTGCATGCAAGGTCGAGTCATAATCGAAAAACGTGACTGAGTCAGTCCCGCGCATTTAATTTTGATTTAAAAATCGGGAGGTCCCACTAAAATAGGAACGTCCGGAAACGGTGATATATATACACATTTATTTTACTTTTTCATGCAGGCGTTATTTATGTGCATATGTTTGTATGTATTCAAATTGCAATTCAACGCTAATATGTACATATGTGTTTCCAATTTTAAATATTGTTGTTGTCAATGTAAACGGCATATTTCTGCTATTGTAAAGATTACAAGAATACATACAAAATAACTTTAACTCCTGACTGTTAGAAATCTTCAGTATACATAAGTAGCGTTGTTAGCTGACGAAACTTTTTAACACTAAAACGGTAAATCAGCTGAGATTCTAGAGATGAGCATGAGTCGAGTTTTTTCGTCCCGTTACAGCACCATCACTTAATTGGCCATAAAAATAAGTAGAGAAGCTAAAGTTGGATGTCCCGACTCTGTACATACATATGTGTAGAATATTAAGAAAATTGAAAAAAATCGATCGATTTTACCTCGCTCGGTATTTGAACAACCAAACCACCAACATCAACAACAGCTGCAGGCATAACTTCCTGTTAAATTGGTCTATCATAATGAAACTTAACATACAGACACATAATCACTATCTGGGAGTTTTTGCAAAATTTGAGTTCGAAATTCCAAGAATTACGGGAGTTATGATTTGTGAGGGAGAGGACGGTTGAGGGGAATTCAAAAAAACACCGTTTCTGCGTATTCTCATGAAATGTACATGAAATGTGCAAGAGTATATTAGGTTTGCGGGAAATCAAAAATGTAACAGACAGATTGTGTTGCCTGTAAAAAAACAAATGTGGGCGCCATCTCGTCGGCATAGACCGGCACTATGCCCAGCTCCTCCAGCTCTATCGCCTGCTGTTTAAACTCGGCTACCGTATGGACGTCTTGATGACGGATCTTGATGCAGCATAGCTTGGAAGTTGAGCGTACTGTCGCCACTGGGGGGCCGCTGGGTACGCTACCAGCAGCTCCGCGCGGAAGTCGGCCCACGTCTGGGTCGGGTTTCGCCTCGTGCGGTCCCACGTCAGTGCCGTGCCCTCCAGGATGTTTGTTAAAATTTGCACCAAGTTATCGACTGGTTCCCCGCTCACTTCTGCTTTCTCTCCCAGCCTGCGCAAGAATGCACGCCCCATTGTCTCACTTCAGTGGACAGGGCTTTCCGCTTTGCTCGCGACATAGCCATTGCGCACCACTAAACGTTGCTTCAACCGTGTCTCTAACCGCGCGGATTCCTGCTCGGGTGCCACTTGTGATGTTGCTCTGGCCCGGTTGTACTCGCCGGCCAGAGTAGTCCAAGTTATTTGTTACTTGAACCCCCAAAATTAAAAGTTGAGGCAGCTTCTCTTTTATTGGTTTTGAGTAGTGTAGGCAGCCTTCAGTGGCACTTGTCATTTATCTGAATGCCATCTTAACGCTGTGCAGCGCAACTGCCAGCCTCCGTGGCTCAAGACTGACTAAAACTCCATTTTAACATTATCATTACTATCTTACGTCTATATACATCTTTCCTTTTCCTTAATTACACCTCGCCGTCCTTCTCTAGTGACGAAACGCTGTGTTGGACGCCAGGGCGCCGTTATAAACTGTTAGGCTGTTGAAATATATTTAAACAAATATTTTTTGGTTTTTCTCGAAGTGGTATTTAGGGTATTTAGGAACTAAGCCCGCTGACTCTAGCATTTCATTTTTGTTGTACTTTATATGTTTGATGTGTTATGTTTTTATGAAATTTAAAGCTTTTTAGGTAGGTTAATTGATAAATAAATGAATTACCTCCAGAGAATGTATCAGTAAAATAATGAAGAAATATTTAAATTCTTATGTTTTCAGATGTATGGCATGAGCATACGAATCAAAAGCTTTTGCCTGGTCATAAAACGACAGCTGAGTTGACTTCTTTGCGACCAGCAGAAGCCTATCATTTTCGCTTATTTGCCGAAAACCATTTGGGGACAAGTGCTCCGAGCGATATTTTGTTGGTACAGACAGAGGAAGAAGCACCCAGCAAAGCACCAGAAGAAGTTTGTGTGACTCCAGGCATACAAGAGGCAAGTAAAATTGCTTAAGCACGGAATTATGTATAGTACATATATGGGAAGAATCAAGATATATCATATCCAAGCGAATTATAAAACAAACTCCAAAAAAAACAACTATAGCTATTCCAGGAAACTCATTTTGTTTCCTCTTCAGAAGACGTTGCTACCGACGCGTCGCTACATACTTCACTATTCAGTTATCACTATTCAGCGACGGAGCCTGGCATAGCTCAACGAGCTAGCAGGAGTCCCGTAATGTGAGTTCCTTCCTTGAGTAGTACTCAGTTCGAATCCAGCCGCAACTATCATGACAAGAAGCATGATTAAAAAATGTCAAAGTTATCATAAAATCTAATAACTATCCAACCTCGGACAGATCTCAAATAAAGAAGGGGGCGTGTTTTCAGCCAAGCATCATCAAAAAAGTCCTTTTGATCAAAATTGATTGATTTCAAAATTGTTGAATATGGTTATAAGAGACTCAAAATCAGGTCCACCACCTTGTGGATCTCGAGCTTTTTGCATACAAAAACAACATTGATTGGTTACTAAGCTTACCAGGCCAATAGTGTCTAGCATTCCGGCCAAGAGGTTATGGTCGAAAGTAACCTTAGTAGTAGTACTAGCCCAACAATATCCTTAACTTAATAAGACATAAGGCGATAATCGAGAAGAGGTCTTTCCATTCTCTACTTCAAACATTGAGAGATTAGTAATTGATCAGGCTAAAGAAAAACGTGAGCAAAAGGTTCATGAATACCCGGAGACTAACTCCAGTGGCGTGTTGCAGCTATGGAGGCTATGGACTATACCATCAATGCCGATTACTCTCTGTAGAAGGCTACTATGTTCGTTAAGCGGAAGCCTTGGCATATATTAAATCGCCTATTGGACATTATTGCAAATCTGACGAGGAACAACCGAAAGGTTGTTGCAAACCTGGTGCCAAGGTTCAGACCGGAAAATCGTGTTACTGAGGAGAAAGTGAGCGGTATTGAAAGAGAGCTCCTTACGCCGCTTCATTTTCATAGAAATTCGGAAAACATCTCCAGTTAATGAATATAAGTCTGTATGCCAAGTTTGATCGATTTAACGAGAACTTATAGCCATATTTCAGCGCGCGCAAACTTAATATACTCTTGTACATTTCATGTACAGAGTATAAAATTTTTATGTTAGCCATATATGCATACAAGAAAAATAATTTGAGAAAATATATAATTTATATTATGTATATCTGTCTGTAAAAATTGCAACCGTTTTTGCAACACTTTATATTTATGTACCGTAAATATTTGTATAGTTACGGATATATATATAATCGAAACGATAATTTGACCGCGGTAATGAGAACAGTTGGATTGCTGGAGAAAACGAACGAAATTTATTACAGCGAAAGAAGTTCGTGTGACGTGCTTCAATGCTATTTTACTTGTGAAAGTTATTTTTAAATTATGCTTAGGCCTAGAACAATGCAAGCTTTTCTTACATTCTAACAGCGCGCCTTAACGTTGCAATGTTAACCTAAGCTTATACATATTTCCTTCATTACACTGCTAAAAATATATTGGCTTACAAATTAAGTTTACAAAAAGTTTAACTACAACCTAACAATTCAATAATAATCAAACTTATAACTAACTCTTGGTTCAACACTGTTCTTAAAACTAAGTATACTAAGTTTTTTTATGATGCGTTGATTAGAAAGAAAGTTATAGCCATATAACCAGGCCCAAGCTCTTAACGCAGCTGTATTTGTTCCTGCTTTGACATAATTATGTAATGCACACATACATACATATGTACAAGTACATCAACATGAATATAACCGATTCTGATGTAAATGTAAATGTATGTATGCATGTATGGAATATTTATACTCTGTACATGAAATGTACAGAAGTACAAGTATATTAGGTTTGCGGGAGCTGAACATTGTAAGGCAGAAGGAGGCGTGGCAGACCCCACAAAGTATATATATTCTTGATCAGCATGACGAGACGAGTCGATCTAGCCCTGTCTGTCTGTCTGTCCGTCCGTATGAACACCTGGATCTCAGAGACTATAAGAGATAGAGACACCAAATTTTGCAGAAAGATGCCTTATTTGTGTACGCTATACGAGTTTGTTTTATTTTTTTGATTTTCCCCCCCACTTCCCCCTATTGGGGGTTTCCCGATTTTCCATTCGTATAATCGCCTATATCTCAGAGACTATAAGACCTAGGAACACCAAATTTTAGTCCCAGATGCCTTATATTTTGGAATTTCCCTCCCTCCCCCTTCTCCGCCACAAATTGCGATTTTCTCTAACTCCCGTAATTCTTGGAATTTCGAACTAAAATTAAATAAATGTAAATACCTCTAGTTAGTAATTATGTGTCCGTATGCCAAGTTTCACTATGATAGACCGAACATAACAAGAAGTTATAGTCTGTAGGAATGATAAAAACGAATTACAGGGAAGCAAGAGGTTAATTGATATTGACCAGCCAAAGTAGGAGGACGCTGAGTGAAATTTGAATTAAACGGATTTTGTAAAAGATTGTTATTTGCAATAAACATAAGTAACATCGTTAATTTAAATAAACTGAATTAATCCAACAACATCAGAAGTGGGATTACACGCCAAATACACCGATTTTTTTCATCCTGAACAAATACAAATTTTTACACTTACAATTGGCTGATGCAATAGCAGCAAGAACTTTACAATGGACAAAGAACAAATAATTGAGTGGTTGTCTAACAACAACATACATTTTTCTCATGGTGCGAGCTTACGACAATTGCAGAGGTTTGCTATTGACAACAATTGCCCAAATGTTTGTGAAATTGCAGAGAATGAAAACTCTAATACATTGATAGAAGAGACGCGCAAATTGGTTGTGTCGTCAGAATTGGCCGCGGGAGTCTCAAAAATGGCGGCCATGAAAGAGGAAGAAGAGTTGATTGACGCCGCAATTCGTGTAGCTCAGAAGAAACAAATGCTGGCTGAACTTATGTCCAGCAACGAGAACTCCGCAGGTGACTTTGATATCGTCAAGGATTCTATTGTCCCATTCTCAGACGCCAATAATTATGATGCGCGCAAGTGGCTTTTAAATTTCGAACGCACTTGCAATGATATTAATAACAATGACGCATTTAAGCTACGTTGCGCACATACGCTGATGAAAATGAATTCAGAGGCCGAATTATTTCTGCGCGTCGATCGGTCCACTAGTTTTGATGAATTCAAGAAAAATTTTCTCAAGACTTTTGGTCATAATAATTCTGCAGCGGACATTATATTGCTTCTAAAAGAAACAAAATTCCTTGCGAAGAAAATGACAATAATGGGATACGTACTCCAGATGGAAGAAATTGCTGCACGGGCAAACATTAATAAAGAAGTCGCAGTACAATTTATCGTCGATGGGTTCTGCGATAGTTCTCCCAGCATTGCCGTATTATGTTCAGCCAAAACTATTGACGATCTTAAGGGTACATTTTTACAATTGTAATGCGTCAATGCCCCATACATCTATCCTATCTGCTTTATTTTATACTGGCAGCGTAATTAGCATAATTCGACGATCGGCAGTGCCTTACACTACATTAAGTGAACTATTGCAGCCTATTAACTTTTGCAGTGTCAATGGATCCAGATGGCAGGCTTTTGGAAAAATTTGCATATTTAGTTGTGTCTTCCTTAAAAGTAAATAGTGAATTATTGAAACATAGTAAACCATTGAAACATAGTGAACCATTGAAATTTAGTGAATTATTGGATTGTAGCGACCAATTATTGCATAGTGAACCATTGAATTGTAGGGACCAAGTATTGAATAGTCAACGAATGAATAGTAGAATCCAGATATTGCACAGTGAACCAGCAAATCGTAGTGGCGACGATTGCATAATAAACAGCGAACATATGTTGTACAATGCCACATCAACAAATAATGCTCAGACATTAGAGGAACATATGATAGTCTTGGACAATGTATTAAAACTATTGGCAGGATATAGATTAGAAATCAAACCTATGTCAACTATGTTATAGTAACGGAATTCGACCCAACAGTGAGCATATTGAAACTATTAGACATTTACCTAGACCAAAGAATTATATTGAAATGCAAAAATGCTTAGGACTATTTTCTTACTTCAGACGTTTTATTCCAGCCTTTTCAAAAATAACCAAACCATTGAAAGAGTTAACAAAGCCAGAAATAAAGTTTGAGCTTAATGATCATTGCATAAAGATTTTTGAATGCCTTCGCGAGCGACTGATCTCCGAACCTATTTTAGCATTGTGCAATCCCAATCGAGAAACAGAACTTCATTGTGACGCAAGCGCAGAAGGATTTGGTGGTATACTGTTACAGAGAGGCGATGACAATAAATAAATATACTATCGAGCACCATAACGGTAAGCATATGACACATGTAGACGCTCTTAGTAGATATCCAACCCTATGTCATGAATTTAAATATGAGTCTTTAGTAAATATAAATGAAAATGCAAATAAGGACCAAATTGTCTCTGTAATTGATAGTGATGATATTAATTTCCGGCTTCAAATAACTCAGAATAGAGACAGTGAAATAATCAAATTAAAAGATAAACTAGAAAGTGGACCAGTTCAACAATTCGTTTTAGATGATGGCATCGTATATAGGAAAGGAGAGAATAAATTCCAATTACTATATGTGCCAGAAGAAATGGAAACAAACCTTATTAGAATTGTTCATGAAAAGTTATGCCACTTAGGAACTGAAAAATGTATAAAAGAACTTGGAAAACATTATTGGTTCCCAAATATGAGAACAAAAGTTGATTCCTCTATTCAGAATTGTTTAAAGTGTATTATGTTTACAGTCCCGATTCACGCAAACAATAGCACATTGCACAGTATTCCTAAACGCCCTATCCCTTTCGATACCTTGCACATAGACCATTTTGGACCCCTTCCTTCCATTATATCAAAGAGGAAACATATATTGGTTGTAGTAGACGGATTC